CCTTAGCTGGGAGCTTGCAAATCATATCTTCTATTACTATTATTATTGCTATTCTTGTAGTAATTGGAAGGGGCCTCCAAAGGTCACAATCAAAGCCCTTCAGACAGATGATCAGACACTCTCTGCTGTTCTTCTTCTTCTTATTGGATCCTAGAGTTGGAGGTCATTCTGCCTTCTGCCATAATCAAAGCCCTTCTAACAGATGGCCAGCCAGCCTCTGTTGTTGTTGTTGTAGTATTGTATCATAGAGTTGGAAGGGACTACCAAAGGTCATTCTGCCTTCTGCCATAATCAAAGCCCTCCCAACAGATGGCCAGCCAGCCTCTGTTGTTGTTGTTGTTGTTGTTGTTGTATTATTGTATCATAGAGTTGGGACTACCAAAGGTCATTCTGCCTTCTGCCGTAATCAAAGCCCTTCCAACAGATGGCCAGCCAGCCTCTGTTGTTGTTGTTGTTGTTGTTGTATTATTGTATCATAGAGTTGGAAGGGACTACCAAAGGTCATTCTGTCTTCTGCCATAATCAAAGCCCTCCCAACAGATGACCAGCCAGCCTCTGTTGTTGTTATTTGATCACAGAGGTGGAAGGGACCTCCAAAGCTCATCCTGTCCTTCTGCCATAAAGGGAGACACAGTCAAAGCCCTCCACATAGATGGCCAACCAGCCTCTGTTGTTATTCGATCATAGAGTTGGAAGGGACCTCCAAAGGCCATTCTGTCTTCTGCCATAATCAAAGCCCTCCCAACAGATGGCCAGCCAGCCTCTGTCGTTGTTGTTGTTGTCATGGATCACAGAGGTGGAAGGGACCTCCAAAGCTTATCCTGTCCTTCTACCATAAAGGGAGACACAGTCAAAGCCCTCCAGACAGAGGGCCAGCCAGCCTCTGTTGTTGTTGTTATTCAATCATAGAGTTGGAAGGGACCTCCAAAGGTCATTCTGTCTTCTGTCATAATCAAAGCCCTCCCAACAGATGGTCACTCGTTGGCCTGGTAGGTGTATTGTGTCCAAATTTGGTACCAATTTGCCCAGTGGTTTTTGAGTTATGTTAATCCCACAAACGAACATTACATTTTTATGTATATAGATTATTATTATTATTATTATTATTATTATTATTATTATTCTGGGATCCTAGAGTTGGAGTCTGGCTGGCTATCTATGGGGAGAGATTGGTTTGTGTCTCCCTTTATGGCAAAAGAAGGTTAGACTGGATGACCTTTAGGCGCCCCTTCCGTGGCAGTGTTTTTTCTCTCTCTCTTTCTGTTTGGAATGGAGCCCCAGCAAAACAATGCCTGGCTGTTTGTCCCTGGAGCCTCTTGCAGAAATTTGCAAAACTGGGCTAATGAGGGAGTTGCAAAGCGGAGGCGGCAGAGGAGGAGGCGAAAGCTGTGTGTTTTTCCTGGGTAATGAGAACGCCAATGCCCCTGCCGTCCTGGTTTCCTTCTTTTTTGGGGGGAGAATAAAGCGCTTCCCTCGAAGGGGCTTCAGGCGCGTTTTGGGGTCTCCCTTGATGATGATTGAGGGCCGGGCGCAATACGGAAAACGGTATTGGCGAGTGGACGCTTCTGTTATGTTGCTCGTTCCATCTGGGAAAAAAGTTTGCTTGGTTGTTTGGGTCGTGCTCATGCTTCCTTTTCCTCTTCTTCGTTCCCTCTTTCCCTGTAATAAAGAGGATGCCCAGGGATGAGCTTGTAGCACCACCTAGTTTGGAGGAGGTAAGCAGACCCATCAGCTAACTAAAAAACAACAAAGCCAGTGGGCCTGATGGGATCCCTGCTGCAATCTTTAAAGAGGGTGGACCTGAGCTGACACAACAACTCCACCAGCTCATTGAAAAAGTGTGGACAAGTGAGAAAATCCCAGCGGACTTCAAAGATGCCCCCATCATCTCCCTTTTCAAAAGGGGGAAAAGAACAGAATGTGGAAACTATCGAAGTATCTCTCGTCTAACCGCTGCTGGGAAAATCCTAGCAGGAGGAAGCGGTCCTTTCGTGGCCATAGATCTCTCTCTGCAGTTCGACTGCTTCATTAGCCAGGAGGAGGCCATTACAGCTAAGGCCTCTCTCTCCAGCATCCTTTAGGGAGAAGAGCTTTGCAGAGAGAGGAAGATGGATCTTGGTGTTGCTTTCCTGGATGCCCTTTGGCTCTTTGGCTTTGCGTAGGCCAGGATCCTCCTGAATATTGCAACAGTCCAGCTCCTTCCTTCCTGCATTTTGCAGCCAGGCTCGGCCTGGGAAATGGATCTCCCTGCCAGACCAAAGGCCTCTTTGACCTTTCCCCAGGAAGTGATGGATGTCCGGCCAAGACCAGAAGGACCCCGGCTTGCCTGCCTTCCTCAATTATGCATGCAAAAGACGAGAACAGCCCGTTCCGCAGCTCACCAAAAAGGCCAAAAAATACTCAAAAATTTAAATTAAATAATTTTATATATTACATAATATTTCAAATTAATATTAAATAATATTAAATAATCTATATAAATAAAAATGTAATGTTCGTTTGTGGGATTAGCATAACTCAAAAACCACTGGACGAATTGACACCAAATTTGGACACAAACCAAAGGAGGGAAGGGGAAGGGAAGGCGTATGAAAAAAGGAAGGAAGGAGAAGTTGGGAAGGTATATGAGGGAAGAAAGGTAGGAAAGAAAGAAGAAAGAGAGAGTAGGAGCATGGGAAACAAGGGAGAAAGGAAGGAAGGAAGAAGAAAGGAGTGGAAGGGAAGGTGTAGGAACGAAGGAAAGGAAGGAAGAAAGGACAGAAGAAAAGGCAAGGGAGGAAAGAAAGCAAATGAAGAAGAGAAAGGGAGGGAGGGAAGGAAGGAAGGAAAGAAAGAAAGAAAGAAAAGGAAGTATGGAACTACAGAGCGAAGGAAGGAAGGAAAGAGAAAGAGAGGGAAGAAAGGAGACAAAGAGGGAGGAAAAGAAAAAGGGAGGAGGAAGGAAAGAGGTACAGAAGGAAGGAGGAGAGAAGGAAAGAAAAAAGGGAAGGGAGGAAAGACGCAGCAAAGGAAAAAGAGAAAGAAGGAGAGAAAGACGCAGGGAAGGAAAGAAATAAGGAGAAGGAAGGATGAAAGCAAACACCTAAGGAAGGAAGTAAACAGGTAGAGAAGGAAGAAAGGAAAGAAGAAAACCGAATGAAGGAAGGAGTGAAAGAAGCAGAGAAAGAGGGAGAGAAGGTTGGCCACAGCAACGCGTGGCGGGTAAAGCTAGTCACTCATAAAAACACTGAAAAATACAACGAAAGAGACTTTAAAAGCCAAAAAAACAAAAATTACAACACATGCGCAAAACTACACACACACACACATATTTAATTGAATATTATAAATATGACTGAATGGGGTAATAAAATATTTATTTATTTATTTATTTATTTATTGACAGTATTTATATTCCACCCTTCTCACCCCTCGGGGGACTCAGGGCAGATTACAAAGTACATATACATGGCAAACATTCAATGCCATAGATACGCAACATATATAGACAGACAGAGGCTATTGAACTTTCCAGCTTCATGAGGGTATGCTTTTTCTTTTTGAATTCTGGCCACCAGGGGAGCTGTCGCTTCACTGTCCACCTGTGACAATGATGGAGTACTTCCTCATTCTTTTGCACACTGCTGGAGATTTTTATGGTACCATAAATTAGTTAAATTAGCCTCCCTGCATAAAGCGGTACAGTGTTCCCTCCTTTATAGCAGGTGTTACGTTCCAGGACCACCCGCGAAAAGTGAAAATCCTCAAAGGAGGGGCTATATATATCTATATAAATAAAAAAAGTAATGTTCGTTTGTGGGATTAACAGAACTCAAAAACCAAAATTGACACCAAATTTGGACACAATGTACCTAACAACCCAATGTATGTCCTTCACTAAAAAAAATTGATATTGTCATTTGGGAGTTGTAGTTGCTGGGATTTATAGTTCACCTACAATCAAAGAGCATTCTGAACCCCACCCACAATGGAATTGAACCGAACTTGGCACACAGTTCTCCCATGACCAACAGAAAATACTGGAAAGGTTTGGTGGGCAGTGTCCTTTGGTTTTGGAGTTGTAGTTCACCTACATCCAGAGATCACTGTGGACTCAAACAATGATGGATCTGGACCAAACTTGGAGTAAATACTCAGTATGCCCAAATGTGAACACTGGTGGAGTTTGGGGAAAATAACCTTGACATTTGGGAGTTGTAGTTGCTGGGAGTTACAGTTCGCCTACAATCAAAGAGCATTCTGAACTCCAGCAATGATGGAATTGAACCAGTATTGGCACACAGTTCTCCCATGACCAACAGAAAATACTGGAAGGGTTTGGTGGGCAGTGTCCTTTGGTTTTGGAGTTGTAGTTCACCTACATCCAGAGATCACTGTGGACTCAAACAATGATGGATTTGGACCAAACTCTACACGAATACTCAATGTGCCCAAATGTGAACACTGGTAGATTTGGGGAAAATAGAATCTTGACATTCAAGAGTTGTAGTTGCTGAGATTTATAGTTCACTTACAATCACAGAGCATTCTGAATCCCAGCAGTGATAGAATTGGGCCAAACCTCCCACACAGAACCCCCATGTGGGCCACAGCAAAGCGTGGCAGGGGATGGCTAGTATATATTTTGATCTATGTTAATTTTATCAATATCTATGTATGTATTTTTATCCTTTACAATTTTAGCTTGTAAATCGCCTAGAGCATCTTGGATGGAGGGCAATTAATAAGTAATTAAATGATGATGATGATGATGATGATATGACGATGATGATGATATATATAGGTACCTAAATTTCCTATTTGATAGATGCAGCTGTCTTTTGGGCTGCAAGGGTTGACAGCAAGCTACACAATAGTCAGAAGCTCGCTCCGACCTGGGCTGGCTTCAAACTCATGACCTTTTGGTCAGTAGTAATCTTAATGCAGCTGTGCCTCAGTCCCGGTGCAAAATAAGCCCTCTGCTGCTGACCATTCCCTCTCCTTCCTTCTCCTCCTTCCAGGGCTGGATCCTGGAAGGCTTCCCTGAGACCCGGGAGCAAGCACGGAGCCTGCAGGCCGCCGGCATCATCCCCAGGCATGTCGGTGAGGAGCCCCATCCAAACCCAAGCCTTTCTGCTCTCTCTTTCCCAAGGGATGCTCTCTCTCCCAGGAGTGCTGGTGTTTCACCAAGCTACAAATCCCATACTTTACTTGGGCGATCCCTCATAGCCCAAGGATGATGGTCCTTCAAGTGTGTCTTGGTTGTGGGTCCTTTGGTAGCTGTTCCCCATAACACAGAGCCATATGGCAGTTCGGTTGGAAGGTCAACCCCCACCCTGGGCCCTTTGCTTATAACTCAGTGAAAGCTAACAAAGTGCCTCTTCTGCCTCTGTTTCTCCTTCCTTCCTTCCTTCCTTCCTTCCTTCCTTCCTTCCTTCCTTCCTTCCTTCCTTCCTTCCTTCCTTCCTTCCTAGTGGTGCTTTACGCTCCGGACATTGTTCTGCTTGAGAGGAACCTGGGGAAAAGAGTGGACCCCATGACTGGAGGTGCGTGCCTTTGGGATCTTCGCTCAGCCCTGGGTTTGCAGCCTGGAAGGGTTTTGTAGTTGGAGGTCGAGGCCCAGGGCAGAAGGGTTGGTTCAATGGAAGCTTCTTCTCCATTGCCTCCTCCTTCCTTGTTCTACTGTCTCTTCTCCTCCACGTTTTCCATCTTCTTTCCCTCCCTCCATCTTCTCCCACTACTTCTCCCTCTTCTTCTTCTTCCCTTCTTCTCATGCTTCCTCTTTTCATTCTTCTTCCTCTTCTTCTCCTTCCTCCTCTTTCTTCTTCTCTTCTCACCTTCTTCTCATGCTTCTTCTCCTCCTTCATCCTCTTCTCTTTATTTTCTCCTTTTCCTTCTCCTTCTGCTCCTCCTCTTTTTCTCTTCTAAATTCTTCTTCTTCTTCTATTTCTTCCTTTCTTCCTCTTCTCCTTCCTCCCCTCCGCCTCCTTCTCCTCCTCCATTCTCTCCTCCTTCCCTTCTTTGTGCTCGTTCCTCTCCTTCTTCAGTTCTCCTCTTCATCCTCCTTTTCTTCTTTCATGCAACTTCTTCTTCCTCCTCCTCTTCCCTGTCTTCCCCTTCCTCCTTTTTTCTCTTTCTCATCTCCTTTTCCTGCTCCTTCTGCTCCTCCTCTTCTTCTTCTCCTTCCTCTTCTCATTCTTCTTCCCCATATATTCTTTTTCCATCTTTCCATTTCTTCTCCTCTTCTCCTTCCTCCCTGCTCCTTCCTCTCCTCCTTCTCTTCCTCCTCCTCTTTTTCTCTCCTTCCTCTCATGCATCTCCTCCTCCTCCATCCTCCTCTTCCTCTCCTCCTCCCCTCCTTCATCCTCCTCTTCATCCTCCTCTTCTTCTCATGCATCTTCTTCTCCTTCCTCCTCTTCTCTGTTTTCCCCTTCCTCCTCTTTCTTCTCCTTCTCGTCTCCTTTTCCTGCTCCTTCTGCTCCTCCTCTTCTTCTTCTCCTTGCTCCCTGCTCCTACCTCTCCTCCTTCTCTTCCTCCTCCTCTTTTTCTCTCCTTCCTCTCATGCATCTTCTCCTCCCCACTCCTCCCCTCCATCCTCCTCTTCCTCCCCTGTGCAGAGGTCTACCACACCACCTTTGACTGGCCCCCGGACAAGGCCCTGCAGGCCCGGCTGGTGCCCGCGGAAGGCTCCTCAGAGACCGCCACGGCCCAGCGCCTTTTGGCCTACCACCGCAACTACTACGGCACCCTCCTGTCCTTCGGGGCAAAGATGAAGCTCATCAATGCCGACCAGCCCTGTGCAGACGTCCTGGCACAAGGTAGGCAAGGCGGACCAACGCCACTCAGTCCAAGAGGGCAGACTTACGCTAGATGGCCATCTGTGGGGAGGGACTTGATTATTCCATGGCAAACAGGGGCTGGGCTGGATGACCCTTGGGGTCTCTTCCAACTCTGGGATTCCACGATATATCTGTCATACATCTCTCCCTCAATGTTATCTATCATATGTATGGCCATCTATCTTTGGCTGGATGGCCATCTGTTGGGAGGGCTTTGGTGGTGTCTTGCTTTATGGCAGAAAAGGGCTGGACTGGATGGCCTTTGGGGTCTCTTCCTACTCCAGGATTCTATCTCTCTCAATCATATCTATGTCTCTCTCAGTCACATATTGTACATCAATCAGTCAATCAATCAATCAATCAATCATATCTATGACATCTATCTTTGGCTGAATGGCCATTGTTGGGAGGGCTTTGATGGTGTCAGTGGCAGAAAGGGGCTGGACTGGATAGCCATTAGTGGTCTCTTCCAACTCTAGGATTCTGTATCTCAGTCATATTTATGTCTCTATCATATCTATGTCTCTCTCAGTCACATATTGTATATCAATCAGTCAATCAATCAATCAATCAATCATATCTATGACCATCTATCGATGGCTGGATGGCCATCTGTTGGGAAGGCTTTGATGGTGTCTGTGGCAGTAAGTAGTTGGACTGCATGTCCTTTAGGGGTCTCTTCCAACTCTAGGATTCTATATTTCTCTCAATTATATCTATGTCTTTTTCTATCATATCTATCTATCAGATCAATGGCTGGCCATCTGTCAGGAGGGCTTTGATTGTGTCTTCATGGCAGAAAGGGGCTGAACTGGATGACCTTTGGTGATCTCTTCCCATTCTAGGATTCTATATTTCTCTCAGTTCTCTCATATCTATCTATCAATCAATCAAATCTATGGCCATCTATTGACAGCTGGATGGCCATCTGTTGGGAGGTTTTTGATGGTGTTTTGTGGCTTCTTCCAATGCTAAGATTCTATATCTCTTTCAATCATATCTGTGTCTCTATCATCTTTCTCTCTCTCTCTCTCTCAATCAAGCAATCAAGCAATCAATCATATATATGGCCATCTGTCTGGAGGGCTTTGATTGTGTCTTCATGGCAAAAAAAGGGTTGGACTGGATGGCCTTTAGGGGGTCTCTTCCAACTCTAGGATTCTATCTCTCTCTCAGTTATATCTATGTCTCTCTCAGTCGTATATCTATATCTATCAATTGATCAAATCTATGGCCATCTATCTATGCTGGATGGCCATTTGTCAGGAGGGCTTGGATGGTGTCTTGCTTTATGACGCAAAGGGATTGGATTGGATGGTCTTTGGGATCCCTCCCATGTCTCGGATCCCATGGTATTATTATTATTATTATTATTATTATTATTATTATTATTATGCAGAGATTGAATGGCCATCTGTCAAGAGGGCTTTCATGGTGTCTTCATGGCACAAAGAGGTTGGACTGCATGGTTCTATTATTATTATTATTATTATTATTATTATTAGATGGCTGGATGGCCATCTGTTGGGAGGCTTTGATGGTTCTGCGGCAGAAAATGGTTGGACTGGATAGCCTTCAGGATTCTGTATCTCTCAATCATATCTATGTCTCTTTCTATCATATCGTATCTATCAATCTGTCAATCATATCTATGGCCGTCTACCGACGGCTGGATGGCCATCTGTTGGGAGAGCTTTGATGGTGTTTTGTGTTCTCTTCCAACTCTAGGATTCTATATTTCTTAATCATATCTATATCTCTTTCTATCACATTTATCTATCTATCTACCAATCAATCCATATCTATGGCCATCTACCTACAGCTATATGGCCATCTGTTGGGAGGGCCTTGATGGTGTTTTGTAGTCTCTTCCAACTCTAGGATACTGTATTTCTTTCTCAATCATATCTATGTCTCTTTCTATCATATCAATCAATCATGTCTATGCCCATCTACTGATGACTGAATGGCCATCCTTTGGGGGAGCTTTGATGGTGTTTTGTGGACTCTTCCAACTCTAGGATTCTATATTTCTCTCTCAATCATATCTATGTCTCTTTCTATCATATTGATCAATCAATCAATCAATCATTTATATCTATGGCCATTTCCCAACGGCTGGATGGCCTTCTGTTGGGAGGGCTTTGATGACTGGATGCCCATCCTTTGGGAGGGCTTTGATGGTATTTTGTGGTCTTTTCCAACTCTAGGATTCTATATCTCTCTCAGTCTCTATCATATCTCAATCAATCAATCAATCAATCTGTCTGGAGGGCTTTGATTGTGTCTTCATGGCAGAAAGGGGTTGGACTGTATGGTATTGTTACTGTTATTGTTATTGTGTCGGGAGGGCTTTGATTGTGTCTTCATAGCAGAAAGAGGTTGTATTGCATGGTATTATTATTATTATTATTATTATTATTATTAGTAGTAGTAGTAGTAGTAGTAGTAGTAGTATGAAGAGGCTAGATGGCCACCTGTCCGGAGGGCTTTGATTGTGTCTTCATGGCAGAAAGGGATTGGACTATATGGTATTGTTACTGTTATTGTTATTGTTATTATGTCGGGAGGGCTTTGATTGTGTCTTCATAGCAGAAAGAGGTTGTATTGCATGGTATTATTATTATTAATATTATTAGTATTAGTATTATTAGTATTGTTATGAAGAGGCTGGATGGCCACCTGTCCAGAGGGCTTTGATTGTGTCTTCATGGCAGAAAGGGGTTTGGACTGTATGGCATTGTTACTGTTATTGTTATTGTGTCGGGAGGGCTTTGAATGTGTCTTTATGGCAGAAAGAGGTTGTATTGCATGGTATTATTATTAGTAGTAGTAGTATTATGAAGAGGCTGGATGGCCACCTGTCCGGAGGGCTTTGATTGTGTCTTCATGGCAGAAAGGGGTTGGACTGCATGGTATTATTATTACGAAGAGGTTGGGTGGCCATGTGTCAGGAGGGCTTTGATGGTGTCTGTGGCAGAAAGGGGTTGGACTGAATGGCCTTTGGGGGTCTCTCCCATTGGGAAAATAAACAGAGAAAGCGTGTTTTCCATTCCTTTCTTCTCCTCCTCCTTCTCTCCAAATTGCCTCTTTGCCTAACAATCTGGCAAAGGTCTTTTTTCATGTGTATTGATTTTTCCCTGTTTGTTTTGAAGAGGGAGAGAGAGAGAGAGAGAGGAAAGGCCCTCCCTCATTCCAAGGTAAACAAGTGGGAAGTTTATATTTGGAACTTAACAAATTAATTACCCCTAAATTACTTAATTAAATTTAAAAGTTCACATCATCTTTCATAAACAATTCATGCCCAGGATTGTAAATAGTCTGAATGCGGGCTGAATATTAATTATTATTAATTAATAATGCAGTGAGATAAATTGAAATTTGAAATGAACGGGAAACAAAATCCTCTCTAGATCTCTCTCTCTCTCTCTCTGAGTGAGTTGTTTGTGTGTTGTTTGCTTTTTCAGCCAATGCATCAAACAGACAGATTTTTTTTCCTCCCAAAGAATAATTAAGACGGGGAGGCCGCCTGGGGGATCATTACTCCTAATTAACTTGGTTATTTACTGCAAATTAAGCATCGTTTGTAAGCAGGCGGCAAGGCGGATCAGCTGGGAAGGCAGCAGCGGATGGATGCCGGCCTGCAGATCTGGATTGAGGGTGAACTGGGCTCTGTGTTGACCATGTGCTTAATTTCTGCTTCTTCTCGTTCTGCTTTTTCTTGGGGGACAGTCCTGAGCCACATCGAGGCCCCACCTGCCAGCCCCGCCGCCTTCTCCCTCCGGATCCTCCTCTGCGGGCCCCCGGGGGCCGGGAAGAGCCTCCAGGCCGCCCTCCTCGCCCAGAAGTATGGCATCGTCAATGGTGAGCCTCTGGTGCCCAACGTCCGTCTGGTATAACAGGGCACACATTCACAGGAACATAGGGTTCTGTGGTGAAATGTAAATTTTTAACTTGCAGTTATGTATAATTATAGATAGATGTTTTAAAAGGTAAGTATTTTAAATTGCATAACTAAGGGGGATCGTAGCCAGTTCAGCTCATGTTGTGCTGGATTACCATGGAAACAGGGGTGGAACCAGCTGCCACTTGGCAGGGCAGCCATTTTAAAACAGTTAGTCTGTAGTCAGCGAACTACAGGAGAGGTTGGTTCTAGTGTGTGTTGAGAACCAATAAGTTAGTCTACAGTCTGTGAACTGTAGGAGTGGCTGGTTCTGTAGCCGGTTCAGCTCATGTTGATCTGGGTTACCATGGAAACAGGGGCAGAGCCAACTGCCACTTGGCAGGGCAGCCATTTTAAAACAGTCTGTAGTCAGAGAACTACAGGAGAGGTTGGTTCTAGTGTGTGTTGAGAACCAATAAGTTAGTCTCCTCCCCACCAATCGCGCCTGCAAAGAAGGTGGGAGCATGAGCAGGGTCTCTCTGGATGATCAGAGAGATCATCTGGGTTTGTACACAGAAATGCAGTCATGCAGGTCAAAACCAAAGTCCCAAAGAACCAAAAGATTTCCCCAAAAGCTGAGGCAATTCCAGAGAAGTTAACAGGGTGCCCCGGAGTGTGGTGGAGGTTCTTTCTTTGGAGGCTTTTAAACAGAGGCTGGATGGCCATCTGTGAGGGGTGCTTTGAATGTGATTTTCCTGCTTCTTGGCAGGAGGTTGGACTGGATGGCCCACCAGGTCTCTTCCAACTCTATGATTCTACGATTCTATGATGTATGTGGCCATCTATCTATGGCCTCCCTCTGTGGGGAGGGATTGGATGGTGCCTTCCCTTTATGCAGAAGGGCTGGGTGGGGTGGCCTTTAGGGGTCTCTTCCAACTCTAGGATTCTATCACCCATCTTCTTTAATATTTAGGTGTTGTACTCCAGAGCAGGATCCCTCTGATTTTAAACACTACACAGATTGGTTGAAATAGCAAGAAGTTTATTGAGGATAATAAACGCCAAAGCAATAAAAACTAATCCACAGTAAAAGATAAATCCAATTGATTAAAAAGAAACAGTCCAAAAAATTAAAAATAGTCCAAAGAAAAATAGTCCCAAGGATTCCATGAAACTACATACTTGATTTCATAGGCAGATTACAGCACGGGCACTTAAATCCATGAATCAAACAAAGGCAAAAGTCCAAGAATTTGGCATGAAGAACTTAATGTGAATCCAACATTGCTTTGTCTGAAGCTAGATTCCATACTTGGCACTTATATCCCTGCCCTAATTCCCAAACAGCTAGGAAAGGATTCTTTCTTAATTTTGGTTTCACTTCTAACTTCTGCTGTAATATGGCTGAGCGCCATAATCAGTCTCTCTCTTGCTCTCTCTCTCCACCTATTTCTCCATTTATCTCTCCATCTATCTATCTCTCCATCCATCTATTGCTGGATGGGCCTCTTTGGGGAGGGATCCAATGGTTCCCACCCTTTATGGCAGGAGGGGACTAGACTGGATGGCCTTTGGGGGTCCCTTCCAACTCTAACTGTCTGTTATTACTGTTATATCATTACTATACATTACTATATTATTACTATACATACTATTATGTTATTATTATACATTACTATAATATTACTATATATACTATTATGTTATTACTATACATTACTATAATATTACTACACATACTATTATGTTATTACTATACATTACTATATTATTACTATACATACTATTATGTTATTACTATACATTACTGTATTATTACTATACATACTATTATGTTATTACTATACATTACTATATTATTACTGTACATACTATTATGTTATTACTATGCATTACTATGTTATTACTATACATCCAAAGATCCCTACGGTCCGAAGTGACCCCCCAAAGGCTATTCAGCCCAGGCCCCTTCTGCCATAAAGGCACCATCTGATACCTCCTCATAGAGGCCCATCTGGCCATAGATAGATGGCCATGGATACAATAGATATGAGATATTGAGAGAGAGAGAGAGACAGAGAGAGATTGAGAGATGCATGATGGAATCCTAAAGTTGGGAGGGACCCCCAAAGACCATCCAATCCAACCTCTTTCTGCCATAAAGGGAGGACACTATCTGATCAATAGATATGATGGATAGATTGAGAGACAGATAGATAGACAGTAGATGGATGGATGATAAAATCTTAGAGTTGGAAGAGACCCTTCGAATCCCCTTCTGCCAGGCAGGAGGACACAATCCGATCCCTCCCTCCAGGTGGCCACCCCCTTGGCAACTGGCTTCTCCTTGGGCCTCTGAGGCCACCACCTTCGTTGTTTCCTTTCCTGAAGGCTTAACCGGCCTCCTCTTGTCTTCTCCTCCCTCCCAGTTTGCTGTGGGCAGTTGATCAAGGAGGAGGTGGCCGACGGCTCCAAGCTGGGAGAACTCATGAAGCCCTACCTGGAGAACGGGTGGCCAGGTAAGTAAGGAGGGATCATGAGGAGGCCTCCCACTTCTTCTTCTCTCAGACCCAGTATTTTTAACTGGGAGTCGTTTACAAGTCAGATGTGTCTAACTCTGGGATGACCTCTGTGTGTGTATATATAAGGTCAGATATTTGTAACTCTTGAGTACTGAGGATGGCGGTCCCTCTGGATTAAGGGTGATGCTGTTGAATGCCAGGTGGATGAGACTGGCCTGACTGGATGAGGCTGGATGCGGGGGTAGTCAATCTCTCCCAGCTGTGCCAACCAGGTTAATGCAGCACTAGCTGCACCAGCTGTGATCTGGAGGGTGGGGGGATGGGGTCGCAGTGGTCTATTGGGATTCTATCTCCCTGACGAGGTGCCCCATCTTGCAGTCTACCACATTTGAGTGTGTCCACATGAGGGTAGGCAACCGGAACAGAATAAGGATTCTGCTAGTGTACCGACCACCCTGCTACACTACAGTCCCCCTACCTGAGCTAGCTGGGATGATCTCGGGCCTGGCATTGGAGTCCCAACAGCTCATAGAGCTCCACGCAGCGACCACCCTGTTGGGAGTGGCTCTGGACTTCATGGCCACCATGGCAACCATGGGGCTGTCCCAATTGGTATCCGTCCCTACCCACAGAGCTGGGCACACACTAGACTTGGTTTTCTGCCAAGGTAATTTGGGGAGGCCCTGCTCTCGGTCCCGCTTCCTTCACAGGTGCGACTGGTGGGAATGAGGGAACAGGGCCTACTTAGCGGTGACCTTTCAGCTGTGGAACTCCCTCCCCAGCAAAACCAGATTAGCCCTTTCTCTCCAGACCTTCAGGAACAAAACCTAAGCCATGGCTTTGACCAGTAATTGGAGCAGTGCGAATTAATGTGATTGACAAATGGAATGGCCCTGAATTATGATAGCGTGATCTTAATCAATGTTTTAATAACAGATGCTTTAACTGTTTGGTTTTTAACTGTAATTGTTTATTTTATGGATGTATATGTGTATGGCATTTAATTGCTGCCAGTTGTAAGGCCGCCTTGAGTCCCCTATGGGGTGAGAAGGGTGGGGTACAAATGGGGTAAATAAATAACTCGGGGATGGCCTGTAGTTTGTGGGTAGAAATGGGAATGGATGCACATCCCCATGTCTTCCAAAGCACCATCCAAAGGCACAGATATAGATATAGATATAGATATAGATATAGGTGGGTCGCTATGGGAATAGTTGAATGCACCTTCCTGTGTGCCCAAGTGCCATCCAAAGACACACATAAGTATATAGATATAGCTGGGTTGCTATGGGAATAGTTGGATGCACCTTCCTGTCTGTGCCCAAGTGCCATCCAAAGACACACATAAGTATATAGATATAGCTGGGTCGCTATGGGAATAGTTGGATGCACGTCCCTGTCTCTCCCTGCCCCCTTCCTTCCTTTGCAAAACCCACAAAATGCAGCCTGAGCTGAAAGGCCAGGTAAACCATCCTTCCTCTTGGCAAGAGAGTTTCTTCCTTCCTTGCTTGCTTGCTTCCTTTTAGGTTCCTTTGCCGTCTCCTTTGGGGGAAAGGCCTGCCGTTTTTTGGTGTTTGTTCTCCTTGCCGGAGACGGAGGCCCTGTAAATAATGCAGGAGCGGATTAATCAACCCACGGGGGCATAATTAGGAGGGAGGCGAGGCGAGGGGGCGGCGCCGGGGACCCTCCTTGGGGCTTCTTCTTCTTCCAAGGAAACTTTCGGCTCCCGGGCGTTTGAAGCTAAGTTGGGAAGCGCGCCGTGCGCCTCCGCCTTTGATGTGGAAATAGGACAGTTTGAATCCGTCGAGTTTAATTTTTCACAAGCTGCAGGGGCCCCGCAGCGCCACTCGCGCTCCTCTTTTCCTCCTTCTTCTTCTCACCCGTTATTCTTATTATTATTGAAGGGGGGAGAGAAGACGGAGGAGGGGGGGAGGAGGAGGAAGAGGATCCCGCCACCGTCTTCTCTCTCTTTCTTATCCAAATCGCAGATGATAAACAGGTTAGGCCTCACTTTTCTTAAAAGTCTGAAGCAGCACCCATACTCCTCCCCATTACTCTCCCTTTGTCTCTCTCTTTTCTTTCTCTTTTTCGCTTTCTCTTTCTCCTCTCTTTCCATCTTTCTTCCCTTCTGTCTTTCTTTTTCCCTTTTCTTCTCCTCTTCTTGCTTCTCTTTCTTTTTCTCCCTTCTCTCCTCTTCCTTGGTCTCGCTTTCCCTTTATTTCTTTCTCTCTCTCTCTCTCTCTTACTTTTTTCTCTTTCTCCTCCTCTTTCTTCTTTCTCCTTCCTTTTTTTCTTTCAGTTTTTCTCTTTCTTTCTTTCTTTCTTTCTCGCTTCTTCTCTCCTCATTCTTGGTCTCTTTCTTTCTCTCTCTCTCTCTCTCTCTCTCTCACTCACTTTAACCGCCCTACCCCTCCCCACCCAAACACCCACACTCTCACACTTTCTCAAAAATTTTATCCTTTAATCCATAATATTTTTGTTAATATCTCTATTACACTTATTATCATGTTTTTTTATTATCTATTGGTTAAACATTCTAATTCATCTTTAATCTTCTTTAATGTGTAGACATTATTTCTATAAAACACAGTTCTTCATTTCATTTAATTTATTAAATCTATTACTATCCTTTTTCTTTGTAATACTCAATCTTTTTATGATCTTATCCATATCTTTAATGATTCTGCAGCTCACATTTCAGCTCTCAAATCTGAATTTTATAAAATTTTCTTACAATTTATTTATTTTCTATCTATCTATCTTATCATCCGATAATCCATCTATTAATATTAGTATCACTTATCTCTTTATTTACTCTATCATTTTGTGTACATATATCTTCTCCGCCAAAAAACTCTTATTCCTTATTTAAATAAACCTTCATTCTATCCTATTAATTGGCTCTCTATCTTATTTCATTAATCATTCTACTATCTCTCCTCTACTAAATCTCTCTCTAATCACTCACTCATTCTCACACTTTCATTCTTATCTGTCTATTCTGACATTGGTTCCTTCCCATATTTCTGAATTTTTTTCCTTTACTCTCCTTCCTTCTCTCCCTTTCGTTCTTATTTCCCTTTCTTTCTTCTCTTCTCTCTCCTCCTTCTCTCCTCCTCTCCCTCCTTCCTTCTCTACCTTTCTTTCTTTCTTTCTTTCTCTCCTTCTCCTTCTCTTTTTTTTTCTTCTCTTCTTTCCTTTCTCCTTCTCTTCCTTTTCTTTTTCCTTTCCCTTTCTTTCTTTCTTTCTGCTTATTCTTTCTTTCTCTTTTTCTTTTTCTTTATTTTGCTTTTTTTTGTATCATTCTCTTCTCTCTCTCCTCTTCCTTCCTTCCTTCCTTCCTTCCTTCCTTCCTTCCTTTCTTTCTCTCTTCTTCTCTTTCTTGGCCTCTCTCTTTTCCTTTCTTTCTTTCTCTCTTTCTCCTCCCTGTCTTTTCTTTCTCTCTCCTTCCTTTTATCTTTTTCTCCTTTTTTCCTCTCATAAAAACACTGAAAAACACAGCGGAAGGGACTTAAAAAGCCAAAATCAAAAAGACGCTACAGCGCATGTGCAAAACGACTCCCCTGGCAAACAAAACACACAATAGCATATCCACACTCTCTTCTGGACTACAGCTTCCAGCATCCCGTAGACCAGGCCCTTTGGAGAGGAGGAAGATCCAAATGCACCGCTTCCAAGCTGCAAGCTTTCTTCTCCTTGGATTTCTTTGAGAGCATATATTCATACACACATTTGGATGATGATTCCTGCCCGCTGCCCCTCTTCCCCTGCCTCCTCGGCACCTTCCCAGGTCCTAATCTCTTAGCCAAGGAAGCCCATTAAGGCCCAGGCAGCGCCTGCCTTGCCCAGTGTTGATTTTTTGAGCCATTAAATTTTCATGCGGCTCTTGATTCAGGCCCGGCTCCCTCCCTCTGTGTGACTTCTATGCACTGCAATGCAATGCAATACAAGCAAGGAATCGAGAATGGCAGCAGAGGCCACTTTTTCATCAAATGGATCACCAGAATGGACCAGATGGGCCTTTGTCGGGAGGGGTTGGATCATGTCTCCTTTTTGTGGAACGAGGAGGTTGGGCTGGATGACCTTTGGGACCCCCTTTCAACATTAGAAGCCTACGATTCCATAGCCCTATTCCTCCACGAAGCTGCTAAGGCGTACCAGGTTGGATGCCCATCTGTTGGGAGGGAGCGGATTGTGCAGTAGGGGTCGGACCGGACAAACAATCCGATCCCGCCCGACAGATGGCCGTCCAGCCTCGTAGGCATTAGCAGCATCGTGGAGAAAGAGGGCTACAGAATCAAAGACTCATCCAGTCTGAAAGGACCTTTTGCGGGAGGACACAATCTGATCCCTCCCAACAGATGGCCGTCCAACTTCACAGACTCATGGAGAAACAGAGCGATAGAACCTGATTGCTAGAGCAAGAAGAGGCCTCCACCCCTCCCAGCCCAAGCCCATATTTGCCCTAAAGCAAAAGCACCATCAAAACCCTCCCTACAGATGGCCATCCAGCCTCTGTTTAATAATAATAATAATACAACATAGTCTCCTAGAGTTGGAAGGGATCCCCAAAGGCCATCCAGTTCACAACACAATCTGATCCCTCCTGAAAAATGACCACCCACCCCCTGTTCATCTATATAAATAAAACTGTTCTTGTGGGTTTTTTCGGGCTATAGTCATGTTCTAGAGGCATTTCTCCTGACGTTTCGCCTGCATCTATGGCAATCATCCTCAGAGGTAGTGAGGTCTGTTGGAACTAGGAAAATGGGTTTAAATGCCTGTAGAACATGGCTCTATAGCTCGAAAAAACCCACAAGAACCTAGTGATTCCAGCCATGAAAGCCTTCGACAATACACTGTAATGTTAGAACTCAAAAACCACTGGGGGAATTGACACCAAATTTGGACACAAGACACCTAACAGTCCATTTTATGTCCTCCACTCAAAAAAATTGATTTTGTCATTTGGGAATTGTCGTTCCTGGGATTTATAC